CAGTGAATTACTTAATATGTCCCTCCCACTAAATAACTGAGGGGGACTGTGTAAATGTAAGGTGCTTGTAGCCCACCAAGGGGTTGGAGAGCTTGCTAAAAATGTAAATAAGGTGCATACCACCCTTGTGACAGTTGGACCAGGCAAGTAAGGTATATAGAACCCTAAGATGGGGATTGGTCAGTTTTTCCATCTTGCTAGGCTTAAATTGAGCCATCCCAGAGACAGAAAGATGGGATCTCACTACCATCAAGAAAGAAGAGCCAAGAGTGGAGCATGTTCTTTACACCCAAGATTCCTGCACTAAACCTCCTTGATTTAAGATACATCTGTGACACTGAAGATGACAAGAAATAGTATATATTGATGATGCTATCAAACTTGATAGTTACTTTGTTTTGGTGAAGTTGCTTTTTCACTTAGTGTTTAGATGCAAAATGAAAGCTCTCTTTAGTGGCAGAGAAATGTTGGAAGCAGGGGCAACAGAACGAAGAGATGGCGTGAAATGGCATGAGGTGGCAGGAGATGGCTCAGTGGACTTCCTGGCCCATGGGGGGAGAAAATTGAGCACCTTTGGGCAGGAGACTTGCTGGCAGAGTGGGGTGCCTCTCTGGGCACTTATCGGCAGAGCTAAAAGAACTTTGTAACACTTTCTGGAGTAGGACAGAGGCCACGAAGCCCAGGGCCAAAGAGACCAAGGGCCAAAGGGAGGTGTGCCTGTGGGTGTGCCTGATGAGAAGAGGCTATTCTGATCAAAGAACTGTGTCCTGAGACATTTCCAATCCTGAATTGTAACCTGTTACTTCTCTTGTAAATTCCGTAGTTGTGACTATTGTCTGTGAGTTCTGTGTGGCCATTGTAATAAATTATTGAACCTAGCAGAGAAGTAGAGTGCTGTGGAAGGGATGGTTGGTGTGAGAACTGGTAAAAAGTTTGGAGAGTGGAGGCTTATCTGACCTTTACCTCACAGGAATTACCTTGGCCTGTAGATGTTGATCTTGATCTTCTGACACTTCCCCTTCTCCATTATTATAAATGGGTATTAGAAAACAAACAAACAAAAACAAAGTTTGGCGTATTTCAAGCTGAAAAGAGCAGAAGAAAAAGTTCAAGTGTTGAGTTGCCATACTGAAAGATTCTATGGCAAAATATTGAATGATGCAGGAAGAATCAAGAGAAGATAGAAGGATTACACAGACTCACTGTACAGAAAAGAAATGGTTGATGTTTAATCCTTTTATGAGGTAGCATATGATGAAGAATTGATGGTATTGAAGGAAGAAGTCCAAAATAAACTGAAGGCATTGGTGAAAAACAAGACTCCAGAAATTGATGGAGTGCCATTCAAAATGTTCCAAATAACAGGTGCTATGCTGGAAGTCGTTACTTGTCTATGCCAAGAAATTGTGGAGACAGCAATCTGGCCAGCTAACTGGAAGAGATCCATATTTGTGTACATTCCAGAGAAAGATTATGCAATGGAATGTGGAAATTATTGAATAACATCGCTCGTATCAGATGAAAGTAAAAATGATTTCAGTAGTACATTGACAGGGAAGGAAATGCCAGAAGTCAAGCCATATTCAGAAGAGGATATGGAATAACTTGCTTACGTCAGATGGATATGTGCTCGAAGCACAGTATACCTGTGTTTTATCGACTATGCAAAGGCATTTGAATATGTAGATCATATAGCAAATTATGCATAACATTATGACAAATGAGAATTCCAGAATATTTAATTGTGCTTATGAGGAATCTGTATATATATAGACCAGGAGGCAGTTATTTTAACAGAACAAGGGGATCAGGAAAGGTATATGTCAACATTTCATCCTTTCACCATACTTATACTAGTAATCTGAACAAAACTTGTTAACAGCTTGCAATATGTAGATGAAATAACCTTGCTTGCTGAAAGCAAAGAGGACTTGAAACACTTACTGATGAAGATCAAAACTACAACCTTTAGTATGGATTACACTTCAACATAAAACAAAATCCTCACAACTGGACAAATAAGCAGCAGCATGATAAATGTTGAAGTTGTCAAGGATATCATTTTACTTGGATCCACAATCAATGTACATGGAAGTAGCTGTCAAGAAATCAAATGATGTATTGTATTAGGCAAGTCTGCAAAAGATTTATTTAAAGTGTTGAAGAACAAAGATGTCACCTGAGGACTAATATGTACCTGACCCAGCCATGGTATTTTCAGTCACCTCATATGCATGGAAAAGCTGAACAATAAATAAGGAAGACCGTAGAATTGATGCTTTTGAATTACGGTGTTGGCAAAGAGTATTGAATATACTATTGACTGCCAGAAGAACAAACTAATCTGTCTTGGAAGAAATACAGCCAGGATATTCCTTAGAAGTGATGATGGCGAGATTTCCTCTTATGTACTTTGGACATTTTATCAGGAGGGATCGGTCCCTGAAGAAGGACATCATGCTGGGTAAAGTAGAGGGTCAGTGATAAAGAGGAAAACCCTCACTGAGATGGATTGGCATAGTGGCTGCAACAATGAGCTTAAAGTTAGCAATGAGTGTGAGGGTGGTGCAGGAGCAGGCAGTGTTTCGTTGTACGTAGGGTCACTGTGAGTAAGAGTAACTCGACAGCACCTAATAATAAATCAGCATTTACTTACATTGTTGTATGTTTCAAACACAAAACAAACAAATCAGATGGTTATTTCTAATATTAATAGATGGAAAGTTTGTATTCTTGGAAGATTTTGGTTTTGATGCTCTATATTAGATACAAAGATTTGATCTGAAGAGTAGGAAACTTTATTATATGTAAAAGGAATTGCATTTTATATTCAGAATATATTAATGAATGGGAAGTCATAATAATTATTATTATTGTGATTTAGGTGAAAGTTTACACAGCAAATTCATTACAGTTCATACACATTTTGTTTCATGACATTGATTACAATCTCCACAATGCAATAACTCTTTTTCCACTTCCTCTCTGTGGTTACCTTTTCCCTATGCCCTCCTTCCTATGCATTCCTGCCCTCTGAGCTATCTCTATTTGCAAATACTCCCCTTCTCATCTCCCGTGGTTGATCGTTCTAAGTAGTATACCTACCTGGTGTAATTTTTCATGTTATGTACCTGTCTATTGTTTGGCTGGAAGCCACATGAGTGAGTTCAAATCCAGGTTTGAAGGGTGACTAGAGGCCAACATCTTAGGGGATTCAGTGGACTATATCAGACTAGTAAGGGTGATCTTCTTTAAGATTTTGAGTTTTTTCCACATTTTTCTCCCACTCTATTTAGGATCTCCTATTTTGAGCTTTTTCCAGAGTGGTTGACAGTGGTAGCTGGGGCCCATCTAGTTCTTTTGGTCTCAGGGTCGTATAGGCTAAGGTTCGCATGGTCCATTAGTCCCTTGCACTAAATGTTTCCATGTGATTTAGGTTTTTTTCATTCTTCTTTGCTCTATACAAGGAGAGACCAATTATTGCATCTAAATGGCTGCTTGCCAGCTTTTAAGACCCCTGTCAGTACTCATCAAAGTAGGATGTAAAACGGTATTTTTGTATAGTATGTGATGCCTGTTGAGCTTGTTGTCCCCCATGACCTAGTCTTATGCCCATGGGCCCACTGACTGATTCCCTCAGGTTTTTTTTGGTGTGGCTAAGGTTGGGCAATCTACTTCCATAGTGATACTACTTTGGAAACCCAAGGAGGGGTCGCTATGAGTCGTATCTGACTTGACAGCAGTGCATTTGGTTTGGTTTGGAAGAAGTTATCACTTTGCCCCATTAGCTCTATTATATATATGGACATCCTTATACTCAATGCTGGTGAGTCGAATCCGACTCATAGCTACTTCTCCTTGGGTTTTCAAGGCGATATCACTATGGAAGTAGATTGCCCAGCCTTCCTTCGAAGGTGCACCAGCCTTCTGGTTAGCAGTCACATGCCTAAGGCACTATGTCACTAGAGCTCCTATGGACATTCTTATAGCACATATAAATACATATGTAGAAATATCATCTGTCAGACTTATATATGGCCATGAGTATATTCCCTTTGGCCTAAACATACCTGATCATTTAGCCTTTCTACCTATGTGTCCACCTGTAGATTAATGTTTGTTATTACTGATAATGCAGTGTTGCATAGGTAAAAGTGTTTATCTTTGTTGTCTGTACCTCTTGTGCACCTCTCTGTTAGTTTTATATGAGCACGTTTTAGTTTTTAATGGACTGATGGAATAAATGCATTTCATAGCAACGGATTTAGTAAGCATATTTTAATAATAATTTAAATTATTTTTAGCAATAGAATACATATGTTTATCACATATATATATTCCTATTTTATTATCAAAAATTACATTTTTCTCTTTAAGTATTATTTTGAACAATTTTAAGAAGAAAAAATTAATACGTGTAGGTGTATGGGAGATAATTGTATTTCTACAGGTGTAATTTTAAATATTAGGAAATGTATTTTTTAAATCTTCCTATTGTATGTTTAAGTCATAATGAGTATATTTGGTGTATTCCTGCTCCAGTTGTGCAGTTGGGTAGGCCTTTGCACTTTTGTTTGCATCATCTGAATTCTGAGTAACATAAATTTTTATGACTTTTATTAGTAAAATTAATACTATGGTTGAATATTTTAATTATATATAATAATTAACAGTAATGTTTGAGTTGAAGAAATAGTCTTACCTGCTGTCTCTGGTTGACAAAGAATATCTTGTACTTAATAGTTAGTTAAATAAATATTGTTATTCCTGTTTTATGTGTAGAAAATCTAGGATCAATAAAGTTAAATGACTCAACACAGGCCATGGAGGTAATGAATGGATGGGTTGCAGATGAACTAAGTTTAATTTAATTGTGTATATTAAATGAATTTTTGTCTGCTTTGTTCAGCAGTAAGCCAAAATAAATGTTTAATTGAATTTTTTTAGTTGAGGGCTATGTTTGTTTTGTTAGTCTGATTGTTTTTTGTCTTTTATTTTAGGGAAGGCTTTCGATTTTCATCTCAGGAAGCTGCTTCTAGTTTTGGTGATGATAGACTACTAATAGAAAAATTTATTGATAACCCTCGTCATATAGAAATCCAGGTACCTTTTTTAATGCTTTCTAATTTTTATTAAAGGAGGTCTGGTGGCATAGTGCCTAAGGCATTTGACTGCTAACCAGAAAGTTGGCAGTTCAAACCTACTAGGTGCTCTGCAGAAGGAAGACGGGGCAATCTACTTCTATAAAGATTTACCTTCTCAGAAACCCAGTTGTGGTTGCTATGCATCAGAATCAATTAATATCATTTATTCCTATTGGAAACACATCCTTTCCTCCATTGAGAATGATTGTGTTCAGTATTTTTGAATAACTATAAATAAATTTTGTTTATAAATTGATTTCTTACCTTTGGAATCTGGTACAGGTTTTTTTTTTTTTTTTTTTTTTTAATGTGCCAGAATGTTGATCTGGATGGGAGATGATAGAAAAACAAAACTGCACAATATGAACAGTCTGGAACTATCTGACCAGGTTAAATATATTCTGTTTAGTAATTTGTTCATACTCTTCCAGCATTTTAAAAGAAGAATGCCTGCCCTGTACTCACATCATTGCAGTTCACCAGATGTTTAAGTTCCTTCCTGTGACAAGCATGCTGTTAGGAGCTAGTTGTGTAGAGATGAGTGAAACACTCTTACTCTGTTTAAGTCTATGGCAAAACAGAATGGGTTTGCTGGGTGCTTCTTTTGCTCCCTATGGTGTCAACTATGGCAGTAGTCATACCAGAGCCTGATGGGTGGTTTGGAATGTCCAAAGTGGCTCTCATATTTTAAGTGCCTTGGAGGGGTGGCTTGAGGACTGGACTCAGATGAGACACTGGGACAACTGGGCCACTCTTTTTTCTGTAAAGGCTTGGAGCATCTTCACATGGTTTCGACATGTAGCATTTCTAGAATGGTAGTCTTATATGTCTGGTCAGGATTCCCACAATAAGTGGTTATGAAGCTGTTCTGTGTTTTTAAGGTTTAGGCACATGCAAAAAGGACACAGAGGCAGCATCCTTTGATATCTTCCAACCTCACAAGGGGGAAATAGAATCTCCATCAGCAGCCCAAGGCTTATTCCTGGGAGGCCAGACATGCTGCCACCCTCCATCCTTTTCACCAATTCTGATAGCAGCTCTCTTCCCTCACTTTCTCTGCTAGGTTCAGTAATTTATTGCATTGGCCTCACAAAACTAACAGACGATATGATTATGGGGTTTATTTAGGGAAGTAACAGGTTATAATTCAGGTTCAGGTACATATTCAGTATACAATTCTTCGATCAGGACAGCCTTCCTTCAGCCAGGCCCTCAGACATACCTCTCTTTGGCCCTTGGCCTTTCAGCCTGGCCTCTGCCCTGGTTGGACAAGTGTTACAAATCTCTTTTAGCTCTGGCAGTAGGTGCACCTAGGTGCAGCCCATTCTGCCAGCAATCCTCCCGCCCAGAGGCACTCAGCTTTCACATTCCGTCAGCCAGGAAGCACGCCACTGTCTTGTGCCTCTTGTTTCCTCTGCTACGTCTCTCTGCCAGCCGTCTCTTAGCCAGGAAAGTCCCATGCAGGGATCTTGGGTCCAAGGATGTGCTTCACTCCATCTCCAGCTCTTATCTCTCTTGATGGCAGTGACATCCTCCCTCTGGCAAGCCTCTGGGAGAGCACACTTTAGGCCTAGCAAGATGACAAAACTGGCCAATCCCAACATTAGGGTTCCATACACCTTATTTCCATGGTCCCCCACACATATACCTTATTTACATTACTCATAAGCTATCCCATTCCTTTGGTGGGCAACAAACATTTTTCATTTGCATAGTTCCACCCAGTAATCTGGTGGGTGTCACAAAGCACATGGCTAGAAGAGCTATACCCAGTAATTAACTGCATCACAGGACAGAATCACTTTTATTGCATTTTGCAAGTTCCTGGGCTAGCCTACGTTCATTGCTACATAAAATGATACAAGGATTAAATATCAGGATTTGTGTTGCATGGAGCCACCATTTTTGGATATTATTTACTATAGTGCATACTGTAGCCATCAATTGTCATGTCCTTTCACATGTAAAATTTACCCAACCTGTTAGCAAGACCAGGATTTTTATTACTAACTTGGTTCAAGTGTACATGAGACATCTTATGTATGGTCCTTCTGGAAAAGTTCTTCTGGAGTGAAGACCTCCATATTTAAACATAATCTAATACTCACTCACCCAACATACAATTATGAGATAAGGACAGGACACCACAACAAATACTTTCTTTCAGCAGTGTGTATAAAGGGAGACATGTGCTCATCATTTGTTGTTAGGTGCCATAGAGTCCATTTTCAATTCCTAGTGACCCAGTGTGACAGAGAACTGCCCCATAGGATTTTTTTTTCTAGGCTTAATCTTTAAAGGAGCAGATTGCTAGGTCTTTTCTCTTGCAGAATCTCTAGGTGAGTTCAAACCACTGACCTTTTGCTTAGCAGCCAAGGTTTAACCATCACTCCACCAGGATCCTTACAGTCATCACTAACACCAAAAACCAGACTCACTGCCATCGAGTCAATTCTGACTCATAGCGACCCCCTTTGGGTTACCAAGGCGATTACCCAGTCTTCCTTCTGCAGAGTGGCTGGTGGGTTTGAACTGTCAGCTTTCTGGTTAGCGGTCAGATGCCTTAGACACTACGCCACCAGTGCTCAGTCATCACTAAAGAACCAAACCAAACCAAACTCACTGCTGTCAAGTTGTGTTCTGCCTCATAGCGACCCCTCCTTGGGTTTTTGAGGCAGTATCTTTACAGAAGTAGAGTGCCCAATCTTCCTTCCTGGGAGTGGCTGGTGAGTTTGAACTGCCAGCCTTCTGGTTAGCAGTCAAATGCCTTAGGTTTTTATGCTACCAGAGCTCCTCCCAGTCATCACTAGCCCTTGCCAATTCTGAAATCCAGCAAATGAAGCAGAGAGATTACTTGGGAAGTTATTGTGGTAATTCTGATAAGAGATGATGGCAACTTGGATCAGAGTAATAGTGCCAAAGGTGGTGAGATATGGTTGGTTTCTAGATATTTTATGAAGGTAGACAGTATTTTCTACCTTGGATGTGACATATAAGACAAAAATGAGGCATTATAGATTAAGGATTTGGCCTGAATAATCAAAAGAATGGGTTGTTATTTTACTGAGGTGAGAAAGACTGAATGGTACACATTTTGGGGAGGAAATCAGGATTATGATGTCTGGCAAATAAAAATGGAGATGCCCATTAGACATCTAAGTGTAGATATTGAGTAGGTAGTTGGATATTTAGGTCTATAAAGTAGGGGAGATATTTGGGCTGCTCTTTGTTTAAGACCATAGAGACAGAATTGATTTTCCCGTTCTTTATATTTCCCATCTAGCACTTATTCGCACACCCAGAAGATCATTTATGTTTTTTTATCTTTAGCTATCTGACTTTTCTGAGATCATGAGGTCCTTGAGTATAGTGATTAAGTCTTACTCATTCTGCTGTTTTCAGCAACTGGGTCAGTGTCTTTCCTATTACTTTGTTGTTGTTATTGCTGTTAGCTACCATTGAGTTGGCGCCAACTCATAGTGACCTCATGTACAACAGACGGAAACACTGGCTGGTCCTGTGCAGCCTCACAATCCTTGCTATGCCTGAGCCCATTGTTGGAACCACTGTGTCATTCCATCTCATTAAGGGTCTTTCCCTTTTGCACTGACCTTCCGCTTTACCAAGCATGATATCCTTCTTCAGGAAATGGTCCCTTCTGACCACATGACCAGAGTAAGTGAGATGAAGTCTGGCCGTTCTTACTTCAAAGGAGCATTCCAGCTGTACTTCTTTCAGAACAGATTTGTGAGTCTTTTTAGCAGACCTTGGTACTCTTAGCACTCTTGTCCAACACCACAACTCAAAAGCATCAACTCTTCTTTGGTCTTCCTTATTCATTGTCCAGCTTTCACATGCATATGAGGCAATTGAAAATACCATGGCTGGGGTTAGGCGCACCTTAGTCTTCAAAGAGATATCTTTGCTCTTCAGTACTTTAAACAGGTTTTTTTGCAGTAGATTTGCCTAGTGCAATATGTTGTCTGATTTCTTGACTGTTGCTTCCAGTGGTGTTGATTGTGGATCTAAATAATATGAAATCTTTGATATCTTTCATCTTTTCTCCATTAATCATGATGCTGCTCATTGGTCCAGTTAAAAATATTTTCATTTTCTTTATGTTGAGGTGTAATCCATACTGTAGACTTTAATCTTCATCAGTAAGTGCTTCAAGTCATCTTCACTTTCAGCAAGCAAAGTTGTATCGTCTGTGTATTGCAGGCTGTTAATGAGCCTTCCTCCTATCCTGATGCTGCATACTTCTTCATACAGTCCAGATTCTTGGATTATTTACTCAGCATACAGATTGAATAAGTATAGTGAAAGGATTCAGCCCTGATGTACTCCCTTCCTGATTTTTTTTTTTTTGCCTTTACCTTTACACTCCTATCCCTCTGTGATTTATTTTATTTTATTTTATTGTGATTTGGGTGAAAGTGTATAGAGCAAATTCATCTTCCATGCAGCATTTCACATACATTCTGTCTACTGACATTGACTGCAGTCTCTGACAACATAACAGATCCTCCAACTTCCTACCCATAGCCACCTCTTCCCTGCGTCCTCTCTCGTGTACTCCTGCCCCATGAGCTATCTCCCTGTGCATACCAAGCCCTTCTATTCTTCCATGTTTAATCTTTCCAAGGAGTGTTTCTACGTAATGTAAATGTAGAGCTCACATGCCTGTCTTTTGTTTGGCTGGAAGCTGCAGGAGTAGGTTCAATTCCAGACCTGAAGGGAAGCTAGGGACCATAGTCTCAGGGGTTCCAGCAGGCTCTATCAGACCAGCAAAGCTGCCCCCCCCCTTTTTTTTTTTAATGATTTTGAGTTTTGTTCCACATTGTTCTCCCACTCTATCCAGGATCTCCTACATAGATCCCCTTCTAAGTAGTTGATAGTATTGATAGTGGTAGCCAGGCCCCATCAAGTTCTTCTGGTCTCATAGTTGTATAGGCTGAG